ACGCAGTGGAAAACATGCTTCTGGAGATGTAAGGTTCAGGTTCACATAGAGGCCTGTGGAGTTGAATGCAAAAACAATTGAGCTGTTGGAATTTGAGGATTTGCACGAATCATAAAGGACAGTTTTCATTATTCTCTGATATATAATAGACATTTTCAGCCCTAAACATAATCAAAGTATATTCCCTGACACTACAGTCTGGATCTGTTCCACCTCAAGACCAGTCTGACATCAAACTATCAGATTACACAGTGCTATCTGTCTTTAAAGAGAGAACACAACATGATAGATTATCTTTTTGTGGTGACTGACAATAAACACAGAGACATAATGATAAGTTACAGACTCTGAGAAACCTGTCTGGCTGCAGAGCAAGAGTTCTTCCAGCTATAGCAGTATTTCAAAAAGAAAACCAAGCTTCCCTTTAAATAAGCTTTGAAAACTCTAATCACACATAGACATCTTCAATTTGATGGCAAAGCAAATGAAAGCGGATTATGTTGAGAACGGAGCGTGGTGTCTGTTATTTAAAATTGTAATAAGCCAAATTATATTTATTATTTTTTATGCTGAAAGGATCTTAAGAGGAGAAAAGAGACGGGGGAAAAAGACTAAGGGAGAAAAGGTTATCTGAACACCCGCAATTATCTAAAATACCAATAATTATTCTCCAAGAACCATCTGTTCTTTACTGACACGCTCACACACACACTGTCTCACTCACACACACACACACACACACACACACACACATTTGAATACTTTATTTGGTTCCACAAATTATATTACATAAGACAGGGAATCAAATATATCGGGGCTAAGCAGCACAGAACACTTAGGGGAACACACTCATTCTCCACACGGCTAAGCAGCAGCCTTAAGGGAACACATAGCATCTCCTTCTCCACACGGCTAAGCTGCCAATAATATCTGAAACAGAGCAATATTTGGCAATTTGTTTGGCTTTTCTCTTTGACATTCCAGCAATTCTCAGACCAATCATGGTGCATTTATATACATGGCCAAGACTTCCGAATATGAGTATGCTATATCTACACTTGTACCCAAAGCTGGTTATCACATCGAGCAGTGGTTGGTATTTGATATACTTGTCCTGGAAAGCCTGGTCCATGTACAGGTCAAAGGCACAGCCTACTTCTAATATTAGCACCTCCCTGTGGTTGGTGTCAACAAAAACAACATCAGGTGTATTTGGGATGTTAGCAAAGACATAATTGGTAAAACCAAACCATTCGGGTAACACTCTAGTGTGCTTGTACATTGCTGCGCTAGATGGTAAGATGTTTTGTACCGCATCAGACACAATGTCCACAATACGGTCATGACGGGCTATGTACAGGCGTTTGTATGCATTACATCCATTTGTTATGTGTGCAATGGATTCTCTGTGTTGTTGTGAATCCTGATGGTTTAAACAGAATGGAGTGTGAATGTGAGGGTACCAGGTGGACAGATTGTACTTAGTGGGTAATACCTGCAGTCTTGCTTTGATGGTAAATGTCAGAACATCCTCACCAACAGCGGCGTTCTTAAACACTGAGTGTGAGACTGAGTGGTCAGCAAACCCCAAACAGGCTAGCTTTCCCTGTAATCTGAGTCCACACCAGTGCTGCTTGATCTCAGACTGCTTCATGCTGAGCAGAACCCTCCTTGCAGAGTCTCGGTGCAGTTCCACAGTCTCTTCCTGAGGTGTTGTGATGTCGGCCTTCACAACCACACTGGGGTCTGTGATCAGTTCATCAGAGACGGGGACTTCAGTCTGTGTGTTGAGTCTTGTCCATTTCAGCTGGACTCCAGTCCGATTGCAGAGGTCATTGAGATCTGGCCAGTCAGACCAGACCCCGAAGCCCTTGGCCTGAGAGTCCAGTTTCCCAGAGTCCTTCCTCCTGAAGCCGAGGAAGTTGTTCCGGTCTGCGCTGGCCAGGGGGATCTTCCTTCTTTGTAGATCCAGCAGGAGAGAGGCCCTGGCCATTTCTCTTACGGTGACATCATCATTGTTAAGCATGTGGATCAGGTGGGCTAGCCTGGTGGCTATGTAGGTCCACTCAACATTGGGGACACCCAGCCCCCCCTCTCCACATGGGAGAAAGATCATGCCCCGTGTGGAGTGTGTGTTGAGGCCCACCCACTTTCTGACCAACTGGACAGTTTTGTTTGTCATTTCTCTCAGTGCCTTGAGAGGGATGTGTACATTGGCAAAGAGATGTTGAATTTTAGCCAAAGCCACCTGTCTCACAGCCTGGAACTTCATGAGAACGGGGAGGGGGGACAAGTCAATCAGGTGGAGACGATGGAGAAACTCTGTAGTGAGCTCCTCGACCTGCTCCCCCCACTCGCCAGCGATGTTAAACCTGTAGCCAAGGTATGGGTAGGTCTCATTACGGGAATACACCTTAATAGGTTGGCCCATTACAAGAAAGGAGGGGGGCTTGTCGTTCTTGGCCTTATACCAGCGGTTGCCTCCACTGCGGCGCTCATGGAGTACGGCACACTTAGCTTGCTTCACCTCCAGCCCTGACCATTGGAGGAACTCATCAGTGCGTGCTAGCATGCCAATGATGACATCCTCCTGTCGTGACGACACCTGCACGTCGTCAGCGTATCCTTGAACAGGATTTGGGGACCTGACATGCAGAGGAGCGCACTGGTAAATCCACTTCATCCATTGGTTGAGTGCTAGGATGAAGTTCACGGCACTCCAGGGACAGCCAGTTTTTATTCACACACACACACACACACACACACACACACACAGTTTTGACCTTGTTAATTTAAAAGCCCTATGGCAACACTTTGTTCACAAAATGTAAAATTCACTTTGCACAATCCCCATTTAAGAGGTTCCATAATAGCATCAGTTGAGCCAGTGCGTGTATATCCACACACTCGTGTCACAGAGGTTTATACAATCTTAACAGTTAAACTGAGTACGTTTTGCGTCATATCTTTTGTTTATCCTGTTGTACTTTGAGGTCTCTTTCCCCCTGCAGCACCCTATTTTCTCTCCCATTGTTGTCTTTTACTGGAAAGGGTCTAAGGTGCTGTCACCCCTCTACAAGTGAGAAAATCAAGAGACATATGGATGATGTACTTTTTACAAACTGTTCTAAGGAGTCATGACAAGTGCAGTCATGAAAAGAAACAGATGCTAAAATGATAGTGTCGCTGCCTGGAAGCATCGTGATCTGGTGAGTTACAATGTCCACAAAGAAAGGCAATTACCATTAGCCTTTTTCCTATCTCTCTCTCTCCTCCTGTGAACTGTGACTGTTCCATTTCAAAAGCCTCATGAGTCTTTCTGACAGTAACAACATTTAGTTTCACATTTATGTCAATTATAGCAGATGTTTGGAAACTTCTGCATAAGAGTACCAATAAATGTATATTTCTTAACCATTAAACCCAATTTGATCAGGTACAAGCACATGACTGGTGTGGAAGTTTCAAAGCTATGTACATACAGAGCTATGTGCATACAGATAACTAGTGCTATAGGCTCAATAGTGGCTCCATTGAAGAGTTTATAGAAACACAACTGTAGGATGATCTGCCTGCCATTTGTGCTGGGTGTCACTTATAACCAGTAAGAAAAGAAAAAAAACATGAAATCTCTCCTGTGAATTTACTGTTTTAAAATATCTTATCGAAATAATTGCATTTGTATAAGTCTTGATGCTTTTACTGTTAGTTGTCGGTTTGTAAAAAGCATTCAAATAAAGGAAAAAGTCACGGCACATATAACTATGTATTTTATTAAGGTTCCAGATAAGGAACTAGCCTGTGAATCCAGATGGATGGGACAAACCAGAGGTTACTTTTCTAACAAATCGAGTCACTAAAATTGAGTAGGATGGCAGATGTTGACTATTACTCTGAAAACTATTATAAAAAGAACATGACTGTTTCTAACATCCGTGCCCTCCAAGGGTTAGGTCGTCCTGTCCTGTCTCTCATCTCATCTCATCTCTTCTTTCAACTGGTTAAAATCAGCGCTCATGTAACAGTTTATTTATATCGAAAGCAACAGACTATAATTTGTAGTTGTGGCTCACACAGACGTGAGTTTCCTTTTATGTATGAAAGCTCTTATATTTGGATGTCATTCAATAAAAAGCACAGGGGCTCTTTGAAGGCGTAATCGTTATGTACCCACTTAGTGCAGATGGACTCAAACAGGTCAGGGTGCTCTCCTGCTTCCTGGTTGTGACGGAGAGGAGGGAGCGTGGGCGTCTGACAGGAAATTATGTGTATGTTTTCCTACAAATAAAATGTAAGTATATTTTTGGAGGATATACCTTGCATTCACCTGATGTTTTAATGGTGTGTTGCAACATTTACACAAAGTAGATTACAATGTGGCTTTTGAAAATGAATGCAAATTTAAAAGCCAATGCATACGAATATATATATATATATATATATACACACACACACATTTTTATATATATATATATACACACACACACACACACATTTTTATATATATATACACACACACATTTTTTTATATATATATATATATATATATATATATATATATTCACCGAGTCAGTATTAAGTGTGTGCACTTTTGGAAGCAGTCTGTGAAAAAAGGTTTCTCAGGGTTCGCATGTGGACACTGGGACATTCACCATCATTCTATGATACAAAGGCTTTGTCTGGTTACAAAAAACATCTTCTGAAATGTATATGTATAAATATATAAGCACAAAAAGTAAAGTAAACCATCTTTTCACCCAACAGTGTGCCGAATTGAAAGAGAAACTCATTTTAAAAGTTGATGCATCTTATCATGAGGCACTAATATAGTACACAGCAAACCTTCTCCAGTCTTAGTTTAACACCTCCACCTAGTGGAGAAATTGTCCTTTACAGTCTGATCCAACCATCAAATAAATTCAAAACATATCATAGTTTTACAAGGCAGCGTTGACTAGAGACCATCCATAACTGAAATTAAAAGAAGCAACAACATTTTCTTAAAGTACATAGATCATTTATTTTCTTATAAATACATATAAATTATAAACATTTCACATCATGCAGTATTAACTATTGATATGAGGGGGATCTGACAAGGAACTATAAAAAACAAAACAATATGTTTGTACGCAACGTGTATCTGTAAATCTTTAGTGTTACATGGCTTGCGCCTGAATTTAGTTGGAACTCTTTCAACATCAAGTTCAATCCTGTGAGCTCAGTGTTACATTCCCTTTAGTTTAAGATCATCATAACTGAATATAAACGTACTGACCTCAGTCCAAAGGCACTATCTGAAGACCGTCAGCCACAGAACGTCAACACATGAAGCAAAGCAGGCAAGCAAGGCTCATGTTTTCGGACTGGTTGGCTAAATAGTGAATCCATGTAATGCATAATGCAGTCCTTTAATACAGTGTGCATGTAAAACTGTTATTTTGCAATAAGTAGTACAACTAGCTCAAGCTCTGGATCTTAAAAAAACCACAGTGGTCCATCAGCCTTCCTCTGGCATCTCTGTCACATCATTGCTTCATAGGAGAACTTAGTCGGGGGAAGAAACACTGTACAAAGATGGCTCTTTTTACTGAATGTCTTTCCCATCAGCAGCAGTTGTGACTCAAACCATAGAGAAGTGGGCCTGTATACGTGATAACCTCAAAACAAAAACACCCTGTTCTGTGTGCGCGTGTTACCATTTAACAAGGACCTGAATAACAGGATAAGTGTAGCCTGAACACCATTTAAAATATATCGACTTGGAACAGTCAATGTCACTTTTTTTGGCCAGGTGAAATAAACAACTTTAGTGCACAACTTTTAAATAGAAAAACCCTCAGCTGGTTTCCTAAAAACAGAAGTCTATTCTGAGAAGTAAGATCAAGTCACAAGTTTAAAATGATCTCAGCATTAGAAGCCTTTAGAGAAAGCCCAGTTTGGCTGTATAGTCAAGGGTCTCACAGTCTTCAAGTGTGAATAGTGGAGTCGATTTTGGACGCTTGAAATTATTTTAAAACCATAAAGTAGCAGAAAGGAGGGATATATGGGATCTACCATAGCAGGACTTGGGCTTTACCTTCCTTTGTAGACACACAAATAAAAGATAAAACTCTTCAGCTTTAGTCAATAAACCTCTTAAATATAGTTTGTCAAAATTCAAAGATTGTCTTTTGCAGTAGCATGTAGAAAACCAATCAGAAAATACAATCCAAACATGTTGGGTTTGAATCTCAGTCTGCAGAAGTTTTCTTACGTAAATGAGGTCAACCCCGAAAGCCCCAACAAGCAGAGTCCTGCGTCACTCTTCTTTTTCATGATTGGCGTTTCCATTCATAACTCCGTTGCTGTGGTGTGCCCATGTCTGATTCTGCAGCACTTTAGGCAGCCTCTTGCCCTTGGTGTAGGCGTGGTACCAGAAGTTGAGGAAGAGGAACAGGAAAATCAGGCCGTAGGAGGCGATGATGTAGATAAAGATGGGGAACTCGTGGGTGCAGTCCTTGATGAAGAAATACTGGGAGATGTGGGTAGTCACCATCATAAACTGGATCTGGGGCGCAACAGATCAAAACAAAAGGTTGAGTCAAGATTTCACACAGATTCTCATGGTACACTTTGAAAAGGAGAGAGACAAGCAGTCTGAGTCAGACCAACATACCAGCTGAATGGAAGTCAGGTATTTCTTCCACCACAGATACTTCTGGTAGTTTGGGCCCAAAGCAGTCAGGCCGTAGTACGAGTACATGACAACATGGACAATACAGTTAAGCAGGGCGTGAAATGTCCCCATTCCACCTGAAAATAGAAACATGTATTAGGGGTAAATATCAAGACAACCTTTTAAAAAGAAAAAAGTAATATCATTAAAACTATAAGTTGAGCAAATCCTACCTGCAGAAAAGCATACTCCAAACCACCACGTGAATGGCATGATTGAGTGATGGTACACATGAAGAAATGTCACCTGGCTATACTTCTTCCTCAGAACAAAGAAGATCTGAAAAAAAGAAAAATAAAGATTTGCTGTGTGATACAATCTGAATCTTGTGCAAGACAATGAGGAAATATGTCAAAGTCAAATGCCTGACTGATCTTTCAACTTACGGTGTCCAACATCTCAATGAACTTTGAGAAATAGTAGAGCCAGCATGTTGCCGCCATCTAGAGGAGACAGCAAATAGTATTTCAGTACAGGTACAATAATAGAGTCATATCAGATACAACAACATGGGCCTACAGATGTATAAACACCAGCTTACCCTCACACCCTGGGGGGACTCCGAGTAGTCGACTGGGTCACAGCGAAAAGAGTATCCCGTTCCCCATCCTGACATCACATACTGTAGAGAACAATGCAAAGTTTGGTTACTCACAAGCAACTGGTTGTTGATTTTTCTCCATGTTTAGTTCTGATCTAAAAATGTTGGCGTTACTCAATGTTTGACTGCAATACACTAAAGCTGCGTCGGTCAGTTATAATTGAAATCCAGTTCATTAACACAAATAAGTAGTTTTCCATAAGGAATATGCTGTACAAGATTAGGTCATGCAGCTCTTTAGGCAATGTTTTGAAACCACTGCATGGGAAGAACACACCCGAAGAACTGAGGCCTGTACTACGAAGCCGGATTTTCGCTTAGCCGGCTGACTTCAGGGAAAACTCGGGCTTTCCGGTCCTACGACGCTGGTTCTCTTTTTAGCGGGCTAGATCTCCATGGTAACTTATGCTGAGCGGCTAACCTCGGGAGGAGGTTAGGTTGCAGGCTAAGAGATCAACTCAGTGAAAGCACCGCCTGCTGACCAATCAGAGCTCCGTGTGCGGAGTTTAAAGCTATCAAGTCATATTACAGGATAGAGGAAATACAGAAAAACTGCCGTTGCAGGAAAGACGGCAGGCCAAAATCAACTGACTGTGTGAACGTGAAAATTAATAGAATATCCCCTCCCATCTTCAGAGCAATCTGACTATTATAACATTAGCGTTAAGAAAGCTTACTTAAATATCTGCCACAACATAAGTAACCGGATCAGAGTAACATTAAGTACAGTCCGCGGCACTGTGAGTGCAGACGTAGATGTGTCCCATTATCATTCATATCACATCACATCATAATGTATCATATATTTCCTTATCTGAGTCAGCTTCTTGAGCCGTATCTGGCCGTGCAACACTCGCAGTGTCACATACTGTATGCAGAAGTATTATTTTAAGCAACACATTAAGTTGATGAAACACTCGAGTCAAATTCTCCTAATTAAAAAGTCAGATCCACTCGTGTCTTGGACGGGGCAGTGATTTCATAAACCTGTTAATGTACGCATTCAAACGCTTTTTCTTTTACCAGCTGTATTCACCTTGCAGGTGCAGCTATGTGGCTTTTATCCTGGATAAAGTGTTTAAGTCATGGATGTTTAAAGTTTAACTTCTTCATATTTGACTAATATTAAAGTTCACTTTTCATTCAGGAAGTATGACGCTGCGCTGTCAGTACGCTTCTCCATGTTTGAGATTGGTCGAATGCTCCAAATACCACCCCTTTCATGTGAACGCGCACCTAACTAGATAGGACATGGCTGGCTTGAGCGATCCACTTGATAACCAGCGTCGTAGTACAGTTTAGCGAGAGCGCGTATGTTTTGGATTGGGCCAACCGGCTAACTCAAACATATCCAGGTTAGGAAAATCCGGCTTCGTAGTACAGGCCTCCGGTTTAAACCTCACATCAATACCCATGTTAACAACAAAAACAAGAAATGTACATGAAAAGCTTTTCACAAGACTTCTGATGGCATGTGTCGCGTATTTGTTCTTAACAAAGGGAACAACACAAGTACAGACTACTATGATCCTGTGGTATGCAAAGCTGTGTAAAATCTTCCATTCAGAAGGATGAATTCCACAGACATAAATGTCATGCCAACCAAATGATAACACGACTCGCCTCGTAGCACATGTAGAGCGAGAGAGCCACCACACTGAAGTTGTAGACAATGAGAACTCCTTTCAGGTCGAAGGCCTTACGGTTCTCCATTAACCGTGGCCCCAGCGATGTGACAAAGTAAATGTACGCTGCAATGATGAACGTTTGGGGCAGAGGAGACGACATGAGGAACCAGGTCTCCGTCCGTCTGTCTGCAACAGGTTGGTGAGATCAACAAGGTTCAGATAGAGAAAAGGTAATCATGTTTACATAGAGAAACAAAATCACAACGCAGGGGTGTCCAAACTTCTTTCACTGAGGGCCACATACAGAAAAACATAAAAGGCTGGGCCACTCACTAGAGTTGAGGTATATTGCCTTATAGTTCAAGTTAGCAAAATCAATCAAATGTAGGTAAATGATGCTTTATACTTGAATATGTATATTCAAGAAGTACAATACAAGCACAGGTTTCATGTGTGGGCCATAGTCCATTATACTTTTTGAATTTGCTGAGGGCCGATTTGAAATGGACCACGGGCCGATTTGAAATGGACCACGGCCGCACTTGGCCCCTGGCCGTAGTTTGGACACCCCTTTCACAAGTGATCACAATGGGTCATACAGCCACCTTGAATGCTTAGGACTCACCTGCATTTTTGATGAACTCTGAATACATGAGTGCGGCTGAGGACTTTATGTCATCAATTTCCATTCTGAGACTTGACCCTTGCAGTTTACCAAGAATCTCCATTTTCAAACAAGATTTTTGCAGTTTGCCTGGAAGAGCAAAGGCAAAGTCAACAAGTCAGACATGAGTTCACTCGCATTATGATAAGCCCGGCACAGAAACAATTAGTTAGAAGGGTCCATAACCAGCAAAACGTTATTCGTTTACATAACTGTTAAACTGTTTAAACACTTTATTTGAGAAAGTTTAACATTAGAAAATAATCACAATACAATGTCACAATGCACAACCAGAATACCTCCACTTTCATTATAAACTCCCACCAGGATGTATGTAGGCCTCTCCCAAACAACTGCTGCAAATTTCAATGAAAAGAGCTCACATTTCCTCCACATGCAACCGGTTTTTCATAATCAGGATGGAATTTTAAACTGTTGCTCAACATCTAAACCATGTTTACCCAAGTAGCTGGTGGCAAAAATAAAATTGCCATTTGTTTTACTTAAAAATCTAACTGCTATGGCTAAAAGACTGGACTGTATAGGAAAAAGCCATTCTTTGCTGCCCCTCTGAGCATCTTAGAAAGACAAAGCCAAGAGTGTACTGGCAGTACAATGAGTAGCAGTCACTGTGCAAAAACGGTAGGACTAATTTATTCAAGAAAAATGTACACATGGATAATGTATAAAAAAATAAACAGTGTCCAGTTATAATCGTGTGTTTGTAAAGGCTTGTGTCAACAAAACACTGGCACTCAATACTGGATACTCAAGTAAAACTTTGCCATAATGTTTTCTCAATGGGAACATTTTAAGAGTTGGCAGGAAGCAATGCAAGTGGGCAGATACTATTGCATAAAAAAATAATAATAACTTTACAATGACAAGAAACGGTTGACTGACATCACCACTTTAGTACAGATGTTTATAACGGCACACCATGCAATGTGGTCAGTACACTAAGCTTTAACTGGACACTTTCCCAAAGGGTGACAATCATGAGCCAGGAACGGTTTAAAAGTTACAAATTGTGTAAAACGCAACCCATCTGTTTCCAGCGAGGGGACAGTGACTGGAAAAGTGTCAGGGTCAACATTTGTTCTATTGAGATAAGGCTCCCAGTTAGTGGCTTGACTGGTTTAAAGACTTGCCTGTAGTTTGGAAAATATGCCAAGGGTATATTCCTTTGTTAGGGACATACAATAAAATCCTTATCAAGTCAATATACAGGTTAGATTTTTTTTTTTTCAGTCAGACACTGCCATTTTTTTATAAATAAACCCCCATTACCCGTATTCTGCCAAGTGTATACAGAACAATACATGACAGGGTGTGTCTAGCTGAATGCAACAGGAACTGAGCATGAGTAAGTCATTAGGTGAACGGTAACAAAAAAAAAGGCATGGCTGTCTGGAGTTTCTTCACTAATGAAGACATGTCTCGACACAGGCTTAATAAACATTATAGTCAGGGATCCTAATGTAAAGGCTACCTGACTTATGCTGTGTACATTAAGTGTCAACTCCCACATATTATAACATGTTTGAATTGTAGTCCTAAAGCATCTCAAAAGTAAATAAAGTTCATTATATAATGTGTGTAAAAGCCGTTATAGTACAGGATCGTCAAAAGACATTACAAATGCAGTTAGTGGGTGCTAAATTATTAACGGAAAGAAAATTATTGATAGAATAGCCATTCTTTAACCCATAAGAACCCGGACCTACTTTTGGGGAAATTAAGGGGAACATAATTCAGACTAAATAGACCACCTAGAACACATTTCTGACAAGAAACCCCCTCTAGTGTCAAATATCTTAAATGACATTGGGCTTTAAATGGTAAAATAACTCTTATTTTTAACTTAATTAATGAGGATGATTTTTTAGTTTAAATTAGTTTGAACATTCTTTGAATTGAAGAAGAAGAACATATTAACTCAATATAATTGAATCAGCTAAATTAACTGAGCAGATCATAATAATATTTCTATTGTGCATATATGTCACTTTGGGTTTACTGTGAAAGTTTAGGGTTAAAGTCCCGATGCGACACCAGTGTCACAGCGATATTTATCTCATTTGTTTCATATCAAATTTGATCAATAAATGTTAAATGTAATAAAGGACATGTTATTTAAGCATTTTAATTTAAATTCTTAAATGGCTTGAATTGTACCTTTAGCAACAAACAAAAAAGCTTTTGAAATGTAGCTAGTTCTGTCACATGTGTTAGCCTGGCACATGGACATCTTGGACATGTTATGGGAACACAAAAATAAAATGTCCTGGACCATGACCCACCAGACTGTTCAGTGTGTGTCACTTAGGGACTTCATGAGATAAAATAAAGGCTAAAGCTGTATAAGGAACTTTCCAGAACATTTAAAGTTCATGTGACACCCGTGTCACGGTGGGTCCTTATGGGTTAAAAACAATAAACGCAGTATTTAAGATAAAACCAAAACACCGCCTTGAACATGGTACATTACATTTAAATGTACATTGCAAAGTCTTTTAGAAGCCATTCCAACGGAAGGATGTAATAAAACTATACTCAGTAAAATTGTGCTCCATTTTTATGAATAAAAAAACAATCCAAATGGTCTTGCCAAGATACAGTTATAGCCAGATACATCTCCACGCCTGTATCGCTGTAATCACTGATGATGAAGAGCAGGTGAGACAACTGATGAAAAACAGGTCCAACGAGTACCAGCGACTCCCAACGCCAGGAAATGTTTCAGTAATCACGGGCACGCTTGTGCTTCGACGCACTGGTGCCATCACATTTTAATTGGATAATCGTCAGTATTATTTTTGGTTTGTCTTATCACTTGACTCAAATTCAGTTAAGAAAAAGTCACATTACAAACCTTGAATTACCGCAGCCACTCGATGAAAATCCTTTTTGTCGGTTACCACTCTTTTGTATCCCAATTCACAACTCACCTGCCCAACAGGTGTGCCTCCTGTTCTGCTCACGCGCGGACAGGGCGCGCTCTCCTCCCTTCTTATGGGCACCCCTGGAGGGCGTGGCCTGTCTCCCAGCTACGGTTCCATGTTGTTCCTGATTGGTCAATTTTGGGCCCAATACTAGTTCATTCTTCAGTGATGCCTCATCGAAAGTTGTCAAGATGTACAACAGTACAGAAAGAATATCCTGTTCAAACTTGGTTAATAACTGGTTTCAGTGCAAAAAAGGGAGGTTTTTTTTCTTCATAAACTCCTAAAAACCACACTCAAATCACAGAAGTTGATAAAAGAACAAGGTAACATTCCCAGTGTTTTTATTATAAGACATAATAGTTAAAACTGTACAATTCAAGACACTTCAGGTAATGTGAGATAAAGATAAATTACTGCTTCATGATATTATGCTAGAGACAGAAACAGTATACTGGATATAAAATGTTTTCATATTCAAAATTACATGAAAGATATGCCAAAAGATAACTGTATTAATGACTGATGTGTTATTGTTATTTTTGGCGTCAGTATTAAAGGTGGGGTAGGTAAGTTTGAGAAACTGGCTCGAGATACACTTTTTGTTATATTCCATGGAATGCTCTTAACATCCCGATAGCAATGAATATCTTAAGTGCTTTGACAAAAAATCCATACAAAAATGTCATCTGTGGAAGCCGTAATACTGTAAAAAGCACGACCAATCATTTTAGCCGGCCCGGCTAAAATAACTGGATGGCCTACCTGCCGGTCAGCCTTCCATCTGTGCACAAACTTATCTTGTGCGCGTTCGTGTGTGTTGGAGGAGGGGCTCTGTAAGGAAGTGGCAGATTTTTTCCGGTTGTGTATTTTCAAATTCTACGCACTCGAGCTGGTTTCTCCAAAATTACCTACCCCACCTTTAAGCCTCATTTGGGTCAAGGTGTCTGAGGCAATAGGTATAACAATGAGGAGGGTGGGACAGAGACAAGGACAGCTAGTTTCATTAAAGTGGACCTATCATGCTATATTTGAATAATATAGTGTAGGACCATACCTATATAAGGCATATTTATACTTTTTTCTTTTCAAAATACCAAACAGATCATGCATTTTAGCCATGCCTCATTTCTCTCAATTTGCACTTTTTTTAGCTCTGCTCTGCAAGGGCAGATTCAGTGAGAACAGCACCATGTACTGGCCTGGCATATGTACTACAGCGTCTCCAGCGCTTTCGAACGGCAATGGCCGTGGCTGTCTCCTCCTGATTGGTGGAGTTGGCCCAATAGCCGTAGCGCCACCGTCCTGACGTCAGGACAGTGTTCAAATCTGGATCAGTTTTTATCAGATCCGTTGCAGCCCCTTTTTTAGAGATTTGGGTATGGAGTAAAATAGAGAGGGTTGTGTTTTCTGACACTTGGTGAGTTCCCTGGAACACCGGGGACACATATTCATGTATAAAAGACGTACAAAAATGCATTTTGCATGATAGGTCCCCTTTAAACGGCTGTCAGAAGAACTAACAAAGAAATGTAAATTTAGCTGGGAATGATAAGACAATGGGTGCTATTTAGTACCTATTAGTTACTCCCATGTGGTCAGTCTCTTTCCAATGTGTTGAAAAAAACACTTAGAAAGACTCACCCCACATGTGTACAATATGTAGTATGTATAATATGTATACATACATGTTACAAAATGTCTCAAACTGGTATAATGTCAGCACCATAACATGTGTGTGGGTGTTTAAACTGACAATAGATACGTATTTTGCTGATCTCGAAACTAGGGATGCTCCGATCGTGTATTTTGGGGCCGATCGGCTCTCCTGATCGGCCTTAGAGAGCACCGATCGGCCGAGAGTGAATATTGGCCGATAACGATCGGCGGCCGATCGATCGGAGCATCCCTACTCGAAACCTAACAATAAATATATTCTTATTTGCCGAAAAAAATGGCAGATATTCCCCCAATTACTACTTTGAATAATTCAAAATACAAAATTGGCTTGGAACTTGGTGACAGGACTTTGGCAAGATGTAAGACTTGATATGCATGCTAAGGACCATGTCAGTTTTACATCCAAATAAAAAAAAATCATAACAAAGTAATATCGAATGTAGAAAAAAAACATTTGTGCATCTTTATAATAGTATACAATTATTTACACATTCCAATTTACCATCTTTATCTATGCCTGCAATGATGAAACAAGAGATATTTCCCCAAATTCGTTATTATCTTCACATTTATCCCCAGAGGATCATCTTCAAGATGTGTGCACATTTCCATAGTCAGACACTTTGTATGTCCACACGAAGAAAAACAGCATTAGTCTTCATCACTACTCCATGCATCCTGAAAGGCCGGGTTCACTGAGGACTGGTCAGCAGCAGCCTGTAAGGAAGCAACACTGAATGAAGATACTTGACCCTGAATAAAAAAGTATGCATGGGTAAGACCACTGTGGCTTATCTTATAAATGTATAAATTAATCAAGTTCAAATGGAAAATGACAGGTTGTTATTTGATAGAATGTACTTTGTTATATCTAAATCAGTATGTTCTGGGTGATTGTCATAATCTAAATTCTTAAGATGATGTACAGTCTATCTACAATAACACTATGAAGACCAAATAACAAAATGAAGACATTGTTTTCAGATTGCCATAACAACATATTGACTCTTGAAATAGAGTTTAACTGTTACTTTTACAAAGTTAATTTAATCCACAGAGTGTCATGGTCTTGTCTTTCCTATATCTAGTTTCATTTTATTAGTACCTGATTTGCACTTTTTGACTCTTCTTCCACATCTGGGGCACGAGGGGCAGGAACCCACGCCAGGATGTTACAGTCTTTACCTCCAGTATAGAGCTCCTAAACATAAACAAGAACAAAGACAACTCAGTTCTGACTAATTGAGTCACACACGGTTACAGGGAACAAAAGAAGAGCTGCTGTCACAGCATCACTTTCACCTTGAAGCGCCTCCAAACAATGACATCAGCCCCGAGGGAACAGTCGTGTTAACAAGCATGATAGGGACCAAGAGTAAAATAATGAATACGCTTAAAACTGTCCATGCAACAGGAGTGAACACATGGGACACATTCTGTGTGTCAAAGGGCTGCTCAGTTTCATTACATCTGACCAGAGGTTCCTGTAAGAAGCGAAACACTTAAAAAGAAAACCGAAATCTTCTTTTCCGGAATTTTCCAGAGTGACAAGCTGACAAACTGCATTCCTATGTTTCACCTGTCAAACCAGCGAGTGTAACCAGATGTTTACGTGGGCAGATAGCGTGGCATTGATAGGGCTTTTCATTTACAATGATTATACCTTGCAAAAGTTACCTTACAATTAAAAAGATAATACTGACAAATAAATGTGGGACACTGCCATATTAGGCAGTTTTTATACTAGACTTGAGTAAGTACAAATACAAAACTGAATAAGCATATTGATAAACTTTTACTTTGTCAGTTTAGCATATGAAAGAATTGTATGACCAAGATGCAAACACCTGAGATTTGCAGATGTATTGGCAGACTCCTGATTCAAACCAACAGCTTGAATGAAAGTGAATAATGGTTTGAGTCAGATGTTATAGTTACGTCAATCTGTGGCCATTGGCTTATTTGTTGGTCCATTGTAAAATCAGCAACAGAATAAAAAGAATAGGCTCTTAACATTGTTTTCCCCTACTGTTTATTATTAAGCGTATACAAGTATGTATACTGATATTGCAATTGTCAAATATGGGCAAAAAATAGTACATATCCAATTAACCCAAAAAATAAAAAAGGTGCATTTTATGCTGCGTTTGGCAAATAAGTGTCATATAGATTTACATATTTTGAGAGCACTTGTACTTTTTATGCAGTACTATTATAAAATGTAGTGTTTTTATTGCATCAAAATGCATTTATCTCAATATTAGTTTTTTAATGAATTTCATCACAATTTGTGATTCTTAAATATTGCAATCCTGAATCAGTTGTTGCCTGTGTGTTAGTACATTTGCTCAATAAAAAGTTTACGTTACAGATAATGGTGACACTAAACGAAAACCTACTGTATACTTAACTCTGAAAGAGGAGATAGTAGATTTACTTTCGTGCAGGGGCACCTTGTGACTTATGCAACTGCAACAGTCGACATTCAGGTCGGGAGCACAAAATGGGTTCAAACAAATGAGATGCCATTATTTGCATTTATAGTAGCTCAGTATAGCTAAGTAGATGTTAACAGTGCTATCTGTACTGGGGCAAGCGGCTCATTTTGGACTGCCATGGTGATCGCACATTTTGAAAAGCTCTTACTGTGATGGCAACACCAAAGAAGTCGAAGAGATTAAAAAAGGGGACGCAAAGAAACGTCAATTCTCGAGTTGTAGAGGGACCAGCTAGACCTGACTAGCTGAACAAACAGAAATAGTTAGATGGAAATACAAACAAAGCAGCACTGCAGAGAGATGGGTTTATTCAGATGCAGAAAACCTCCATTGTTTTAGTTGCTGCTGTTTACATTGTGCCTGATTCAACAAAAGAGTGAACTCGTTTTCGACTACTGCATTTTAATGGTGCAATTAATACCACTGCATTGACTCTCACCTGGTAGTCTGGGTGAAACTCGCAGCAGTCCACGTTGTTGTAGTGCCCTCTGAGCATGGTGACCAGCTCTCCTGTGTGGAGGGCATACACAGCCACCGAGCTGCCGCAGGGCACAAACACAAACTCTGGGCTGCAGCCACGGGAAACTGTGAACTGAAGCCTTTTACGGCTCTCGTTGCAGACCTTCCCGTAATTTACCTGAAGGACACAAAGAAGACACACAGGGTTCAGAACATGTGTGTATGCCAGGATATACATTTTATAGAAGCTAATCAATGTGGGATGAATATAAAATGTTTTTCTTTTATGAAACAGACAACATACTGACAATTTCTTGTATTGGCAATATGATACGTATCATGATCCAGAGGACATGATATTTTAAATATATTGCGATACTGTAATCAAGACGATTTATGGAAACATCTGTTTTTACCTGGAAATGTCATTGTATAAACATTATTCATATCGCCATGTGAATAAAATCGGTGTATATACATGTCATTTTTATAAAAAATGGTCACCATGTTTTTCCGAGTTCATACAGTATCACAAAACATAGTATCAGGATATTTCAGCATATCTATATCATACATCTCTATGTAACAATAATATGTTATGCCTTTCAAGCACTATACCAAAACAACCAGAGCTACATTCAGTGTTTGCCATCAAAACGCTTGTATCCTTGAAGTCTAACAATTGTATTTCCTCTGCAAGTTAGTTAGATGGATGTAAACAATACATTCATACTATTTAAAAATAGCTGTCTTCTTCTTCACTGCCTTCGTTGGCACGTTGCTGCATTAACATGGATGTAGATTTGTGGAACAGTGTGACAACCACTCAGAAATAAATAAATACTTTTTACCAGAAGAACAGTACAGTAAAGAGGAAACCATCATTTTAAGGCTTCTGAAACTGAAACGTAGGGTATGCTGGACCAGATGCTTTCAATTTAGATACTTTCAGACAATATAAGACTTTTCCAGGACTTGCAATGACCCTGAAATCAAGACGAACAGGAACAAGCAAGCAAATAAATTCACCTTCATGGTGTAGAATTACAAGGCTTTATTCATGCCGATGAAACAGCTCTGAATTGTTCAATGCATTTCCTTTAACATTTTAGCATTTCAACATTAGCATTTCCCCCTAAACGTACACCAGACATCTTCATTGCAACTCTTATCTTTGCCGGGAGAGAAGGTCAAACCCTTCCTTGTGTCTAGTCGTCTAGTGTTACAGCCCGAAGATGGAAACATGTCCGCCATGGCAACCTCAGCATGAAGCAGCAGAGCAGAAAATTAGAACAGGAGCAATAGCATAACTTTCCTGAGCTTTAGGGTAAGGTCATGTTTGTAGGTTGTGGAGATGGAGCTAATATATTTTCCATTTATGTAGACCCAAGAATATCAAACACTGTTTCTCTAAGAGTAGCAGTAGCATCCTGTTTACTCAATCTGAGCAAAGAATGACAAACATTCATGCAATTCGTCAACCTCTCTCTGCCAAAATTAAATCATACAAAGAGTATTTTGCCATTCATAAGTATCCCCTGTGTCATTGAAATTTGAATATAATCGTAAAAAAGTGACAATGCAGCATCTATATTTTAAACCAAAACCATGACTTTTTAAGGTAAAATAAGAGAAAAACGAATTTGCAGCTAATTTTGAGAGTGTTCTTCAAAATTAAAAACATTTAAATGTAAGGTAAAATGTTGAGTAATGGATGACAAATACGTGCATAAATCACGTGTAGCACCCTAAACACTGGAACATGTGATGTCCTTTAATCAATCAATGAATATTGATCAACATTATGGTTTTAAAATTGAACCGAATGACACTATTGGAGAAAGGTTGCCACAGTGCCAAATGCACTACATACAACAACACCCAACTCTTTGTTTTCTTTCCCCTACATTGCTCATTGTTAAAGTTTTGCAACCTTATTGTTGAGAGTCTGTTTGCACTTTGATTAGGCTGTGTAATTTGGCAACGATAGATGTTATTGCTGTGTGTTGTTTGCTGCAAGGAAATGTGGGATAGCATTGGAGCGCCACTCCTTATCATTTACAGATTTCAACCTGCTGCTTATGATGGCTGCCACTGAGATACCTCCAGGTTAATTCAGGTAAGTAACCTTCTTAGAAAAAAAACCCATTACATTCATCACGACTTTTAAACCAATGAGCGTGTGATAGCTCTGTCAGAGCTAACGTAACGCAGCTTTAAGTTGAATTTCCCTACGGGGAACAATAAAGGTCCATCTTATCTTATCTAAATAGCACATCAGAAACCATGTTATGACAATAACAGAAATACAGTTACATGATGTCTGCTAAATAATGTTAATATTCCTATGTTTCTAAAGAACATCAACCAAGGGAAGGCATGTAGGCGGCACTAAAACAGGACCAACCATTAAGCCATATGGAACTTTTCAGCTGCTGCCTTAGTCAAAGCAAAGTTTTAAACTGAGACATAACATTGATGTTATGCGAGTACATGATGAACAGTGTACTATAGTAAAAACAGGTTACCCCAGGTATGTTATGAGGAGGAAACACACACACACACACACACACAACTTACCAGGGTGTTTTCCCCAGTTGCACTATTCCATAGTCGCATACGGTCATCAGTTCCAGTGGTGAGGAGGTAGAGGCCATCACCAGTGAAGCACAGGCCATTCACTCTGCCATTATGCGCCGTGTTCACTGATAAACACAAATGAAGCATGGTAACATGTATTTATCATGTCTTTCATCCTCCATCTTTATCAAAAACCAATAGTAGATACTTATTTTATACAATTGATTATCAATAAATGGCATGCTTTTAGTGTAATGTTTGTTAAACATCTCTTGTCTCCTTATCACACAGAAAGGCTTAGATAAACTGTGCAAACTGGTTTTATGACATTGAATCATTTGATTAGAAACACAAACAGGGCCTCAGGAAGGAAAACACATCCTGTAAGAATGTTGACATCTCATCCAGAGATAGAGACAGACGCTGTTGTGTTAACCGGACTAACCTGAAAGTTAATAAAATAACAAGCTAGGACTTTAAGCGACTTTGAGACTATGAAAAGCGCTATATAAATTCAATTTATTATTATTATTATTATTAGATCTGTAAGATTGACTGATTATCTACTATAACCAGCCATTGAATGCATCGTCATCAGTTACCAGAAAATATGAATTCTGTGACTCTACATCAATGTTTGTACTTCATGATGCTTTTTCCATCAGTGCAGCACATTGGAGATGCTAAAAGGACTTTTTTGACAGTGCTTTGCAAATTGATATTGTTACAACAGGATTATAAATAAACACTGGAAAAGTAAGAAAAGGAGAGAGGTGACAGTACCTGCCTCAGAGGATGCTTTTGATTTGTCTCCATTGTGTTGGTCCAGAGTGAAGAGACTACCAGAAGCCCGACGCACATCCCATACTTTCACTTTGCTGTCTGCACTTAGAAGGAAAATGAGGGAATTATTTTAGTTTTACACTCTCCTGGTTAATTATCCTTAAGTCCTGTTCATTCAATTCAAAAAAACGTTTGATCGAGTCCGGTACAGGGATTAATACAGCTTCATGTTCACTAGTGTTTGTTTTTAAAGGTCAGATTTCTGCTGGGAATTAACATTCTGCTCCATAATAGAATAGCATACACTTCTCTGTGCCAGTTGTTTTCAAAATCACTTAAAGTCCACAGGGAAAGGCAGCACAGTAATCCCAATAGGTTAATTAGCATGTCTAATGTAGCATAGCACAGGTGGGGACTGTATCTACCATATGCTGCGCTGAGAGGGCCACAGTACCTGTCTGCTGGCGATGTAGTGGCATTATACTGGCCTCAGGGTTGCACTGTGGCCAGATGGGCAGACACTGAGAAGACAGGAACCGCTGGGACACGGAATTGTGGGGATTTTTTCTGCGTCTGACACTTTTCTTTGATCTGAGGGAGAACCAGGTGATGCTGATTCTCTACAGATGGACTGGCAGTTAACAGTGCCTACCTGGCAGTGGCTAAGATGTGATCGTATCGGGGCGACCACCGCACGGACAGGATCTCTGCTCTGTGGCCTGGAGGGAAAAAGTTATTGTTTATGCGTGTGAAGAAAAACGATAACGGAAAATGATTATTGTTGTAGGTTAAACAAATTGTTAATAACAGAGCCGGCGAAGGGGGTTACATTCCAAAAAACTTGGATATTCTCTGAGATTAATAAAGTTATTTACAAGCTCCCCCAGCTCCAATACAAAAAATATATTTGGCTCTAATACTCCATGCTTTCATTTATTGTCTCTAGCTCACATACCCTGAAGAACATGAATCCGTGAACCAGACTTCAGGTCACACAGCTGGATTTTAGGGTCTGTGGTGCCAACTGGAAAACACAGAAACAAAAAGTTGAAGTTAAAGACCCTTAAAATAGGGAATTACAAGGCTGGCGTAAAATCTGAAAGCTCCTTGCAATAGGTTAGGACAGTAGTTCAAATCTTAAATTCCTTCTTATCATCATTATCAAAGTGTACAGATCCTAGTACATGTGTAAGTATAATTTCCTACAACGTGTATGGGAGAGGCACTTCAAAAGAGTCAAATCAGAAGACCTAGGTTCTAAAAGAACAGGTGTGGTAAACTTGAAAAATCACTGATAACAACACCTGATAAACGTGAGCCAACACACCCATTTATACATCAGAGGGGGGCAAGATATTGAGTAACATTCAAAAGAACAAAGAAGATGATTTGGAGTTCATTCAAATTGAAACAGCCAGCATTAAGAATAATGAATGTAGTGATGCTTTCGAGTAACAGATTCCTTTTGAAAACTAATGTTTGACAAGGATATTTAACACCCCTGAGAGTGGCGGACATCAAGCTAAAAAAAACGACACTGTGATTGTCCCAGGATTAGAAAAAGGTGTGTCAGAGAAACTGTGTGGGTATGGACATGTATGAGTACACACAAATAGCAGGCACGAGAAACCTGTTTGTCCAGTTGGGCAACGTGGTGAGGTGGCACAAAGATTATTACGATTTTTTCCCCCTGAAATCTTTCACGCTTCTGTCGCCTCAAGGTACATAGCACATTGTAACCTGGGGTAAAACTTGGGTACACAGCACTGTGTGGAAGCATGCAGTACACTGACTGGAGAAACAAAACTGATCACAGGGTATCTGATGACAAAGAACAGTTTGTTATTCCCCATAGAAAGCAGTGGTGGTTGAATTATGACACACACCTGCAATGAGACTGTGCTTCCTGGCGATGGGGGAGAGGTGGTGGCTGTAGACATTGCCCTCAAACTCAAAGACTTCTGCAGGCTTAAGAATAACAAAGGGAAAGAAAGGGAGTACAGTTAGCTGTAGTCAGCTTCCTTTGAGTTAATTGCTAAGTAAACATCCGGAAAACTGACTCTTTCTCTCCATTTTCAAATCACGTCTCAAAACATATCTCTACACACTTGCATATCCAACCTGATCACACGTGCTCGGTTTTTATTGATTATATTGTCTTGTTTTTGTGCTGTTTTGTTTTTTGTACCTTTTACGGCGACCTTGAGAGCCTTGAAAGGCGCTTTTATAAATAAAATGTATTATTATTATTATTATGTGTATGTATGCTGAATGATATCTTAATTTAATAATACAAATATACAGCCATGACCTTTAACACAAAGCCATTGCCTTGAAGATGTAACTATTATATAAATTCCCGACATTGCGGAAAAAAAGTTAATGGAAGGACTTCAATAAAAACAGAAGAGTAGAGAGAAGGGATACCATGGCTCAGAAGGCTCACCCGAGCAGCAGTGGCGGTTACAATGCAAATTCTTCAGCAAACATAAAAAGCCTCTCTGTGCCCCGTCTGTCAGTGAGTGCCAGCACCGACCAATGGGCACTCACACAGAGGAGGCTCTGTTTGCATAAAATACCACCAATACACATGGACTTTGTGCACAACAATGCAAAGCACACATTAATGTGCAAATACAGACCACAATAAATAATGTAATAGGCATAAGTGTGTGTGTTTATGTGGAACACAGAGACAGAAACACGTAGAGTTTAACTTAGTAAGCTAAACCAATGAATGGTCGTTGGCTCTTTGCTGTCCCTTCCCTGACCTTTGAGGTAACCGCAGTGCCAGTGTAACTCTAGAGCAGCTCGGGCCTGCCATATGGGACTTTTGCATAGAAACTTAGAAAGCATGAAGCAGAACATTAGAAAGCGAGGGAAAGGGTGGTGGAGCTATAAGAATACAAATGTCAGCTAGTGGCGTGATAAACCACTTTGAAATGTGCACCAAGTAACCTGTTTAATGTTGACATCCACATAGGTTTATATGTTGATTCAGCTTTATTGTGCCTAGGTTTATATAACACATGTTTATCACATGTAATAGGGAGTAACCTAGTCTGTGGGTGACAGTCTTACCTTCAGTGTCTCAGTGTCCCAGACCTTCATGGTCTTGTCAAAGGAACTCGAGACAAACATGCCCGTGTCATAAGGATACCACTGGACTGTCTCTACGCTGAATTTGTGGACATACCGACTCGACCTAGATACAAAATAAAAAACATAACATGTGACCAGATTCATACTTATGTCTTTAGTGATCTGCACCCCCCAGTTATGTTTGAAATATCAAATGAACAAATGGAGAATAGTGCACAACCACATTAAACTTTCATGGAGCAACAGTAACTAAATGATGACATTATTGTTCATGGTGAGACCCACATTGTCACAAATTAGATTTCAGAGCCATGTATTGAAGTGAACCAAGAATTAGTATGATTTATCTGTTCACATTACCATTAAAATGCAGTCATAGGAAACAAAAGATTGGGGAAGGCAGTGCTACCCTCTAGAGGACAGAATGAGTAAAGGCAACAACACTCACCTGCCTACAGTGCAAACTGCCTTGCAGGTGTACAGTAGTTTCCTACTGTAGTTCTCCAGGTCATAGATGACAATCACTCCATCTGCGCCGCCAGACAACATGCTAAACAACAGAGAGGGTTTACTTCACAGACTGAGTTACTTCCTCCAACACAGCTGCCACATTGCTTTCTAAAGGTAAACCTGCAGTCATTCTTAATGGAAGATTATCACAGAAAGGTGTTTGGATTAAGATTGTGTAGCTGAAAACTACATATCATATACCTCCATTTTACTGGGGTCTTATGACAAACTATGACAAAAGTGGACTTACTATCTGCCCTCTACTGCTTCAATGTCAATGGTGTTGATGCCGTTTCCATGGATTCTATCAACATCTCTGTCAGGATTCAACTTCAGACCCAGGACCCTTTGGAGATTAAGAAAGGAAGAAGAGTCAAGCATTTCTGGAAAACCAATAAAATGTTTAGCATCAAACCTTTGAGGCACAAGTGGATAAAAAGACACAGCAAAGGAAATACACAATGTTGCAATCTAGAAATTGACAGAGTTGGTGTTAAAAAGTAAAATGGCCTTATGATTTTTTACATTATCTTTATATTATAGTTTTACAAATGATCATTTACATTGGATTATTACATTGTAGTTAAATCAATACATATGTAGGGTGGAACTGAAAATGCTATTATCAAATAACATTTTATTTGTAATTTAGTCCACCTAATTCTTATATATGAATGCAGTTCTTTCACTTACCAAAACCTAATAATAATGAGACAAAACAATGGGACTAATACCATTACTATTGTATTTTAACTCTTTCTGTTTTGTTTTTTATAACAGGTTTGTATTATTGAATTTTACACATTTTTTATTTCATAGTTATGGCTTTTAATTCAGGCAAAGGTTACTAGTCTAATTTTCCATGATTTATTGCATTGTGATCGAACTCTGTTTTATTTTTGTAACTAGTTTTTATTTATGTTAATATCGTTGTTATGTTTTTTCTGCCTGTCCTGGATGAAAGGTGCCACACAGATTACAAATAAAATAAAGTTATTATTAGACTAATTACTAAGACAATCAAAAGAAAATGAAGTTTTGATATTTGGATAATCACAGTTAGTTTTTGAGTCATTTACAAACATTAGCTAGTCAAATCTTTTCAATGCAAACAGCTAAATATATCATAAAATTAGACTTTACAATCACATATGTTGAGATTATAGGTTTATGAGCTATCTGAGTATGCATATACATTAATGTGCCCCTTAAAGAGCAGTATTTATTTTCCTTTCTGGTTCAAAATAAGAATCAGAATACCTTTATTCGTCATTTACAAATAAAGTTATTAAAATGTACAATTGTTACAGCAAAAGTAAAATATCAAATATATAAAATCATAAAATATAAACATATAAATTACACAAATTACAAAAATACTCATCCAGGTGGACTACAAAAATTACCAATAACAATATATTATTTTAAATAAGTGTTGGATGTATGAAGCAGTTTGATAGCAGCCAAGTCACAGTAGTGAAATAGGAAGTATATATATTGTTTATTTACAAATGTATTACAGTAGTTGCATTGTCTAAAAAAGATAAAGCAGCCAGTAATAATATTTATAAAGCGGTATTTGTATTAAATTATATATTACACAACAGAGGTGTTCTAGTCTTTGTTGCTATATGTGTGCAGGGGACATTATTGTTTTCTCTCACCTCCGCGTTGACTCTGCACGCCTCAGTCGCAGAGGATCATCCACACCAGCCTGCCTGGCTGTAAGAAACCCCAACATTGCTATAATTTGAAGATGAAACTATATTAATAAAAGGACTAGTCTCCAAACTATCCTACCGTTAGCCAACCTAGCTCAAAGGCTAGCATGTTGACTACATTGAATTAAGTTTTCAATCGTAACTGAAAAGAAGCACAAACAACAAGGCATGTTGTTGCACATAGAGCCTCTTAATAACTAAATACGCTACTTAAATGTCGAAAGGCCACTTTGCTTTGATAATGTCTTGTTTATTTAACATAACATTTCTCTAACTTCCCAGCTGCTCAACACAATGAACCGCCATGTTGGAACGTAATGACAACATTCAATGACAAATGCGATGATTGGCTGTTCAATAATAAGCGTCCAATCACAAAACGGCTTATTCATTCTATTCCCAACATAAGAAGTCTTGCATAAACAACCAAGTGAGAGGACACACATCTAACAAGGGACACGAAATACTCAAAAACCTTCAAGTTTTCCTGTAAATATGAACAGGGTCGCTGGAGTTTTACGGCGTACGTTTGGAATAGTACGCGAGCACGTCGGGACAGATCTTGTGGGGAATAAGTATTACCATATCCCAGAACAGAAGACATGGACAGGTAAATATAATGTAACATGTCCTCTAAATCAAGCTTTGTTGTGCTTACTTTAGCCAGTAATGAATGTATTTACAGTATTGATCCCTACAGATATGCATGCTTTTTTAAAGCCTCGTCTAAACTTCAGTAAGCTTCTTCTGTCCCTGGCCCTGTTTGTTTACTCCATAACAAACTTAGCCTTTCTTAGCCTGATTGTTTTGATATCTAGTTAAGAATACTGCATATTACATATTGATATTCCAGCAATGTATCTATTTGTATGTAATGTATTGCGCATGTATGACTTTCCTTCTTCCCTTTGACCCTTGTAGTGTAAAAAGCTCGCCAGTAGATGGGGCAAATACCTCACCCAGAACATCTCATTGTATAAAATAGATTTAGTCTGTATTAAAATTGAGCAAGATTAACATTTAACTCATTTTGGGGCCACAATAACTGCAGCTCCACTGTCATGGGCCCTCAAAGCAGAAAGGGTCCTCCTCATTCCCTTTTCAGTGTATTTTTTTTTATTTGACAAATATGACCTCAAGTGACCCTTATTGCTTCTATCAATAATATATTCTCTCAAATCTTTAAATAATAGGAGCGGTAATTCCGCTGCCAAAAACATGGCAGTTCCACTGTCACTGGCCTTAAAAGCAGAAAGCATGTCCTCCACTGTTGCAGGGGAAATGATTTCTTGTCTGTTATGAGGTTTTAGAAGGAGGTCATATATCCCTACTGAGACATGGCAGTGCTACAGTTTGTCATGCTCAAGCCAAGCAGTAGAACTGTGTCATCATCAGGCTAATCCATGGTGGAATGCCAATGGTGTCCTTCACACCTTCTTGAAGGCCAAGGACACAGTTGTAGGCCTAGTGGACTCAACGTCTGGTCTTACCGTGAGTCATTCCTCAGTTGTCCTAACTTTAGGAGATGGAGAGAGATAGGCAATTTGTATGACTCAACTTACCAATAGTAACGATTTTATTTGAGAAGCCCAGCACATCACCCCTGTGTTTTTGCAAGATATTTACAAGGAGGAGATGCCATCATAGCTGAGTGTCATTTTAAAATGAGACAATGAGAGGTTTACAACAAAAACACTCAGAGCATTGACATTATCTATGTGTCAATGTCAGATCCACACCTGCAGAGGAACTTGATTAGCAGAATCACAGCTAATCCCACTTTCCCCTTCCCCTTTTGGTCCCTATAGAGGGCATTGGTCAAAGGTCAAAGAGCCAACCTTCCAGACATTATACTGTTGGTTAACCAGCCATGGACCTTTGACTTATTAGCGAAGTGATATTATGCATCGTGATATTCATTAGAAATCTTATGCCTGAGAATGAGTTCAGTTCCATTGCAGACACTGTCTTTTTTATAATATGGGATACACACTACACAGCAGTAATCCCTCCTACCCATGTGTTTGTCTCCCTCTCTTGGTGCCACATTATACAACTTCAATAACGCATGAGCTGAATAGGTATGTTACAGTGCAAACATTCAGTGATGCTTTTTCAGAGAGTGAAGCCAAGAGTTTTTTCTTTCAGTTTTGGACCGACCGTTGGCAGGTCCCAGGCCTGCTATCTTTCTGACTGAACTTGACTTTGTGGTTCACCTTTTCTCAGCAGTTTGCAGGGAAACGTGTGCCCACCTCATATTTATAATTCATTACAAGGCTGCTCCTCAACCCCTGGCTGTCAGACTATTTAAATGAGACATCACACAAGACCATTTTCTAGCACGCGACAGGCTACCATATTCACTGCCCAATCACAATGACTGACACTGTGGAGTGGCTGGATGGCCTGTGGAAAAACTGGTTTCTGAACAAACGCACTCAGAAATGCAAGGCAGGTGCGTACACGTATACCCTCATATACGTTTATAATACACAAATAAAAATATATGGCACACACATGTTCCTCTTTATTTCTACCACTCACCCAGTCCAGCCTTGTGGAAATAAAGCAGATGCATTATTCAGTCCATATGTCTTGCTAAAGCGGGTTCTTTTTGATCTTAAACTGATAGGCCAAGCGTGGGCTCAGGGCCTTAAGGCATGGACCGCAGGGCTTTCCACTGCAGCGCATAGTGGTTAAAGTAGGTGAGGAGACTCTCTCTCTATCTCTCTTTCCCTCTCAACTCTGCCTAGTTCTTCTATTCATTTGTCCATCCCTAGTATTCAGGCAATCCCTCTCTACCTTTATCTATGCTTTGCTGCTCCCATTTTCTACCTCTCTCAATCTGTTAACTTTAGAAAACTGGGGCGTAAGCAATTTCTTGTGTGTGGTAGGCTATATATGAGGGTTTTAATGGCTGCTAAGACAGAAAAATAAAAGGAAGCCGCTGCTTTTTTACATGACTGTGTCCTATCTAATCTCAACAACTGCCCATTCTTCTCCTTCGGGTGACCTCTTTATTTGCCTCTAGTTAGTCTTTCCTTCCGTTGCCCCTCCCTACCATTGCTGCCTCTCGATTTTCCTCCTTTGAAGACATTCTGGTGAAGATTTCTATTCACAACATTGGAGTAGTTCAGCAGTGTGGAGGGTTATACCCAGCAGAGTGCTTCATATCCCCCTCTCCTCAGATGCTGCTGCACATCAAAATGAAAAGGCCTGAGTCTGAAGTACACGCCTAGAGAGGGGGAATGTCTGTCCGTGTCTTTAGAAACGGTCCAGCTAAGAGGCCTACTGTGCTTCTTCCCCACAGAGAGAACTGTGCTATAGGCTGTGGAGCCCCAGTGATTGTTGTCTATGGCAGGGCTACAAGATAAAGCCACTGGCAATCTGGCCACTGGTCTTTAGAGGGTCTTTGCCTTGGTGTTGGCTCTATAGAGCTGAATAGAGAATCTATATTCTTCTCTCTTTCTGTGTGCGTCTGTCCCCCAGGCCCAGCGCTGCCTCACACTGCATGGGGCACCATGTCATGCTGCCCAGATGAAAGCCCAGCATTCTGCGGATGGGCTCATTCGTCTTCAGCAGTGGGCCTGCAGCTTTGACGCCTGCCTTCCCTCCCTTTATTTAGGAAGAGAGGCGCACTGACATTATCGGCCGCTGCAGGCACATTTGAAAATAATTGCCTGTATGATTGCTATTTTTCTTACCTCTTTGAGGAGGTGTAGCCTTTGTCTTGGAATCAATGGCTGCTCAATACTGGACAGAGGAAAGGCAGTTTCCTTTCATGTCTTAGTAAAAAGGATGTATTTTTAGCGCTATTCATTTTAGCAGTGTGTGCCATGCAGTTTTAATCTATTGGTCCTCTCCACCGTGTGGAGAATTGGAGGGATTCAGAGGTTCTTCCGAGGTGCGCCACGCTGTTGCAGAGAAAAGATGCATTGACTTGTCGTCCTATCACTATCCCTCTTTCTTTGTCTATTATTTATTTGATTCCCCAGCTATGTTCTATGAAGTGAAAAACTGAAAAGGCCTCAATTCTGCTATTTCAGGCTGGGTGACTCTGGGGACTGAGTTAGGAGGTGTGTGTGTTGTGATATCAGTGTGTGCATCTGTGGTTGTGTACATGTGTTGGCATAAAAACTACACACTGTGTGTATGTGCACATTAGTATCTGCTTTGTATTTTAAAAAAGGAAATAAAACTGCAAGTGTGTTTTCTCTCCACTTCATGCCCAAACACACTTAACACAACAACAGATGGCTGTGTGTCATCAGAGCGTTGATTCAAGCCGCATATTTCCATGGAAAGAGTCACAGCGGAGAGAGACGAGGGTCCAAATGGCTGTTTATTCTGCCACAAGTCATCCCCAGGGTGTGATGAAGGAAGGTCTATCATACAGTAGGACACCAAGTCAGTGTTTGCAATGGAGCAGCTATGTCCAGAGCAGCCACAGTAAATCATGTTAATTGATCAGCAGCTTTGCAATGCATGGGGTTTAAATGAAGGTTGTTTAATCGTTAACGAAACCACGTGGGTTTAGCTCATCTTGCTTTCCACCGTTTGCCAAGTGTGTGTTTGTGTTTGTATGTGTATGTGGTGGAACACCATGGAGTGGTTTAACTACTTCATTAAAAAGGCATTGGAAAAGATGGATGCTCACAATAAGAAACAGGCACATTTATTTCTTACGGTAGAGTATTACAAATGGGCCTAGCTCCAATATCGGCACTCTAAGCATCTTGCAGGTCTATTAAACACTGCTTTAACAGTAGACCTGTATCTGTAAACATGTTTGATTCACTACCTACACATTTAACATGATGCGACGTGGTGAAAAACCCTAGGCAGTTGATGGTGCCAACAAATTAATTACAATAATTATAGGCGCTGATTCGCTGTCCAGTGCATTTGTGTGTCTTTCTGGTCAAATGGCCAGTAAGGTGGCTCGGGGCTCCTTGTCGGTCAGAAACTCAGCCAGAAAGGCTGATAGACAGACCAACACAAAGCAGACATCTCCTGGAGCCCGCCGCTGCTTATTCAATCCTGAATATTTTAATAAAGCAGACAGGCAGAGAGAAATAAGGCTAGCAGTAAGGAAGGAAAGATAAGGCCGACGGAGATTCACAGAGGGTGCAAAAGAAGGTGGGGTATAGAAAGTGAGTGACAAACAACAAGGGGGATGCTGACATACGGGGTGAAATTATATAGTGGGGGGAAGAATGGAGAGAGTGAAAGTAAAAGGAGGGTTTCTGACAGAAAGAGGGTGAAATGAGTGGGTGGAACAGGCAGACAGATAGAGGGGGG